ATAATAATAATTCTGACCTTAACCTGCTCTGATGTCTTTGTACTTAGGTTTGTGTCATTGCTTGCATCGGTGTACACACAGCACTGGTTAAAGTAACAGATCCTGATAAAGCAGCTTGTATCTCTCCTTTTATTATAGTGTTGAAATAACTTGATAATAGAGGAAGCATTAGGATAACATGTTATCTTTCATGAGTCATCAGCCTATTAGATAAACATGCTTTGTGTTGCAGTGGGCAGCATCCTCCCCCTTCTTTCACCCAGAATCAATAACCCCTTCCCACCAAATGATTTCAGATTAGCAAACAGCCAGACAGCCCCAGCTCCCGCACTGCTCCTGGGAAAAGCACGGCTACTGCTCCCGCGGTGCACGTGTCTAAATACACCTCCCTCCTGAGCAAAACAGAGCTGCAGAAAGCTCTCGACATTTTCTCTATTCTCCCTTTTTGCATTTTTATGAAATCTACAAGGCCCAGCCGCAGTTACACATCTCTGCCATCTCTTTATTATCTCTACCAGTGCACCTCAGTCTGATACTGAACTCTGGCCCTTTCCTCACTTCTCTGAAATAACCTTTTGGAGTCTCTCATCTATGGCCTTCTACTTCGTTGAGTTACTCTACATAATACAGAAGTGACGATGCCTGGCAAGTCCAAAGGTCTCTCAAAGTGCTTTCCAAGCACCTTCAAAACTGTCACAAATAGTTTTATCTCCATTTTGCAGATGTAAATACAGGGGCACAAAGGCTAAGTGACTGCCTTGGGTTTACACACAAATATTGTGTCATAGCTGTCCAATATAGTGAATCCATGGTCTTATTTCTTAATTGCAAAGAATCTCTTTTTATTAATTTTTCCTCATTATTCACAATTCTTGTTAGTTACATTATTTAATTTTACGTGCCCAAAGGAGACAGTCTAATGTTTTGCCATTTAAAGGTTTTAGATGCTTCAAGCACAACTGAGGGAAGATGGGGTGAATTCCTACAAGTACATACAACTGCTGAAAAACCCCTGGAGGCAGTTCAACTTACCATACTTCACTTCCTTTAATTTTTAAGGCCTCCAGACATCTTTCTACAATGCTTCCCTCTATAATGAGAGCACTATCAGTCTCCACAGCTCAGCTTCTCTTTCATGGATCCAGCCCAGATCCAGAAAACAGATAAAAGCCTCCTGGTGAGCTCAGCCTGGAAGATATTCTCCTTACGATTCTCACACACGAAATAGGACATGGATTCAACATGGATTCACCTCTTTCAGCGCCTCTGTGTAAATCAATGTCCAAGCCCAGTGCCACCTCCTGATTTGAATTTTTGGGTTAAGCTCTGCTTGACTTGTGCTTTGGATCGCTCTGGGTAATTCCCCAGTTAGGAGCATGTCACTCAATTCCAACTTCTCTGCACAATCACTTCAGCAACCTCCATGAGCAGTAAATGATTTTACTGGAGTGCATATGACCATGGCATAGTGTAAAATATCAGACTCACTGAACGTGAGCTTTCCCGATGGCAAACTTCTATGCAAGTTTGAGTGTGAATGACTGGATCAGACAGGGTCACTAGGAAAAGCACTGGCTCGTCATTAAAACAGACAAGGGAGGTTGCTGTAATTTGAACAATGCTATCATTAGCATCAACAAGTACTTGAAATTGATAATCAGTGTCACTCCTTTGAGAGAAACAGTGCCACAACAGTCTCGTGTTGTGAGGAAGCAGTTTCCCCACTTTAGGTCTTTCTCATATACATATATACATAGACAGACATATCCACAAACATTTTGCAAGTGTTATACACGTACAGATATTCTAGGCACATACACTCTTTGTGTCCATAAAAATGTCCATGAGGAAGATTTGGGACTAAAGCCACTGTTGGTACAAGTCCATGGAAGTGATGGTGGCTTAAAACAAGCTGAAAGTTGGTACTAGGTTGTGAATACGTCAGTAATACTTCAAATGACACATGCAGATCAATTTGCACACACATCACCTCAAAATACTTGCTGAGAAAACGTAAACTCTCTGCTTGTAGCCTAGCAAGGAGTGCTAAAAGGAGTGCAACTGAAGGGTTCCCACACAAAGTCAGGAGCTCATAGATTAACCATTCTAGCTCAGTCTTGATGAAGGGGACATTATCTTGGAGTGCTTCAGTGTGCCTGGGTTCTCAGTACTTGTGGGAGGGAAGGAGTGGGATGCCATACGCCGCTCTTGATATTGTGACTTCTTATAAACCAAGTAAAGCACAATGACTATTTATCAGGAAAGGACATTTAATGATTTTGTATTTACGACAAGGTAGCTCTCTTACTATGAGAGCTCACGAGAGGAGATAAATTAGCTCTTCACGCATGCCATTTTCAGTGGCTTGCTTTGATACTAATGCAATAATAAGAAAGGAAACTAACATCTGCCATTTTGGGACCTAATACTTACTTTTCTTATGTTCTTGAATCACATTTACTATGAGGTTGTTTGTGTGAAATACACATGTCCTTGCCAGAAGCAGGACCTGTTCTACACAAGACCCCATGCAACCACTCAACATTGCTACATGGACATCCATTAGCCCCCTTCCTTCCCAACTCCCAACAATGACAACCAAAGATCACAGAACAAAAAGATCAGGTGAGCAGCCAAGTAACAGTGACATAAAGGACATCATGCAGAGCATCAGAGTGAGCAAGAGATACTGAGGAGGACATCCATTCCTGGGGGCACATTATGATGGGTCATGGACTGGCAGTGACCAAATAGATTCCTTGCATTGCAAAAGGAAATGCAAGGAGCAACAGCAGCTAAAAAAGGGAGAGGGAAAATGCAGCTGGACAAATCTCCTCCATTGCAGGCAAAGGTAAAGTCATCATAAAAGAAACAATAAAAATAAAATCCTTCTTCTTCAGGAAAATCTCAACCAAGGCTAAGAACAAGGAAGAATGTTCTAACAACTACTGGCATCTACTTAGCTGGAGATGCCAGGGTTTGTTTCAGATGTCACAGGGTAGACGTGCATGCTGTGGCATTACAGGTGACTGACTGCATCATTCTCTTATACTTGCCAATTAAAAGCCAAAGACTTGCCTTAATTTTTAAAGTATGTTGCTCTCAGATCAATTTGAGAATTCCTACAGACATTTAAAGAGGACTACCTCCATGGCATGCATCTTTCTTATCACATTTCTGAGTGATGTTTTGTACAGTGGGGTGATATACCTGCTGCTGGATTCCCTAAATGAAAAAAAGACTCTCCAATAACCTACATAACCCAAATCCCTGGTGACATTTCCTCTACCTTCCATACGCCCTGCAAGAAAAGGAGTCTTTATGCAGGGACCCAAGGGACTTCACTTTGCAGAGCAAACTATGTGAAACCAAAAGACTCCAGAACTGCATATGTACCATGAATGCAACTAGATCAACCTGACCCCCTTATTTCGTATATAGATTAAAAATAATCATATCATTGCTTTACAACTGATAGCTTTTGTGGCATAATTATTGGGGAAGGCTGTCCACCACAGCAATAAATACTCACTGTTTACGGTACCTGCTAGTGCATTAATATTATTCAGTCCAACAGTGGCTCCAGCCAATCCTTGGAGAGTACCCAGAGAAGTCAAAGAATTCATGGCCGCACCAGCTGTGGAATTAGCAGTTGATGCAGCCACTGAAAGGAAAAAAAACAAGGCAAAATTAAAGCCATATTTTGCTTATTTTAGTTGATTACAAAACAGATTACAATAATACTGAACACAACAACAGGGCTACTTGCAAGAAAAAGAAAAAACAAGAAAATAAGACCAATAGATCAACCTTGCTCAAAATACTGATAGCATGATTGTTCATGGAAAGTGTTGATGAGCCTTGAATGGCAAAGACTGGCTCACAAAATTCAACACTGTGCTATTATTTGCAAAGATAATACAGAAACAGTAACTTTGGGATCAGCCACTTTCTCAAAAGTTTTTCTATCAACTTAATACCCCAAGCTGATCAGCTAAGCAGGCTACTGAGATTTTTCCATATTTTAAACTTCATAATAAAAAAATATATATAATTACTCATAGTAATTTTGTCATACAAGAGCTTTCTGTTCTGGGCACCAAGTGTTCTATGAAAAATCTAAATTACTTTAAGTGAGACGCTATGTCATTATGGCTCTGCTCTAGCACACTGTATGAACATCACTTAAAGCCTTGAAGTTTACAAAAAGAATGACGACCAGCCAAATACAAAATGTAACCACTGTCCATTTTATTGCAGGCTTTTAGCCAGGGCTTTGTACCTAACTGGTCATGTATATGCACCCCGTGAATGATACTGTATGAGTCCCAAAAGGTTTGCCAGATGGGAAGCTGAAGCTCCAGTGGAGAAACAGTCCTTGCTGCTGCAATGCCAAGGGAAAGATGAAGGTGGACGAGATTAATCCATCTAAACCACATGCTTAGGATGAGAAAGAGACTCACTCTCTTGTCTTTGGAAAGTAATGAAGCACCTTAGAAAGAGCTATCATTTAGGACAGGTTGGATGAACTAGAAATACGTGTGTCTCTCATAGAAGGGCCTTGAATAACCAGTGCAGATTAAACACTAAACTTACAAGGTAGGTAAAGCTATACCAGATGAATCACGCTCATAAAAGCTGTGGAAGCAATTAGGTTTTCAGCTTGTCTCCTGAGCCCTACTTCAGTGCATCAATCATAAAGACTTTCTTTCTTTTCCTTTAAAAAGTTGCATTATGTTCTGGAAAGTGAACATTTAAAGTCAGAGTTTTGTTGATGATTTACCAGAGGCACATCATGTCTACACCGTGCTTTTTTTGCTCCTATTCATTACCTAGCTGTGAAGTGGTTAAGATCACTTTTATCTTGATGCTCTTTTGAGCTGTCAAACACATCAGATTACTCAGTGAACCCTCAAGAAACTAAAGTCTCTACTGCTGACAGAATCCAAGAAGGAAAGTAGGAGGCAACTTTTTCACTCTGTGAGTAAACTCCACATCTCTAAACTTATATTTAACTTAAATAACCCACTTTTATGACCCTAAGACCCACCAAAAACAACCTTTCACACTCATGGCGCCTTGAAGTACAAAAGACTCTCCTGGTGTGGGTGAGGAGAGATTTCCAGACTCCACGTGGCATTCCTTGTCCCCACTTCCCTAGCATCTGCATTGTTAACTTGAATAATTTTATATGTTGCAGATAGAAGCAGCTTTGATTAGTCAGTCTCTCTCCACAAAGCAATAAGAAGCCAATAATGTCTTTGATTAAAAAAAAGTAATGAAAAAAACAAGTAAAAAACCACTTTTGTCAGATATTGTGGGCACCAACAGAGAAGAGAAAAAAATCAAAGTGAATGAATGTCAGTGAATTCCCTGTGACTGACACTGCTCCGTGTTCCTGCTCATGTTCATTAGCAGATCATTTAAATGAAGTATATAAACCTCAAATCTGAAGGATCTGAATTGTTTTGACTGGGCTAAATTCCATCCGTTTCTGTTTCAGAGGATTATTGCCCTCTTCTCTTGAGGAAACACATATATTTAAGAAATGAGAGAAATGGGGGCTAGGAAACTGCCTGAAAATTACATTGAAGCTCTCGGGGGCAAATAATTCCTGTGAATGAGAGCCACATGCTTATGGATTGTCAACACATCTGCTGGAGAAGGTAGAAAAACCTAATTAAAGCCTTCTCTCTTGCACAGTCCACAGAGTGCGTTGTGGTGGCTCTTATCATAGCCTCACTGATCAAACATATGCTTCAGGGATGGCCAGTACCGGGGCCAACATCTCCTTTCTGCTTTTATTCACATCAAGTTTCTCTGTTCCATCAGACAAACACAGAGCAGGTGCCTCAGTGATTCACTCATTTGAAGTTGCAATGCAGATTATCTGGTTTGTCTAAATAATGACCTGGTGTATAATCAAGGTAAAATACTACTTGGAGCTCTGAAGCACCTCAGAAATCAGAGTTTTGTTGTTGCAGCTATTTTTTCTGCTTAGCAGTGATCTGTCTCACAGATCCACTGGGACAATGCTTTTTCCTCTTTGGCTTGTTAGTTCTTTGGGGAGAAAGAAACTGAACAAATTGTGTGGTTTCCATCATCCTATTGAACGTGGGATGAACAGAAACGAAAGGAGCTCCTTTTGTTAAGGCACTTGTAATGGACAGATCCAGCACCTCTCTGCAAGAGGTTTCCTGAGAGACTGCACACTAGTTATGTCCTTCCCTTTGACTGAGACCTGCTCATATGAAATGAAGGCAGCGATGAGCTAAAATACTACCATAAAGGGCCAGAAAAGGTCTGAGACATTGAGAGGTGAAAATTTTTCACAAAATGCTGGATAAAACCAACAGATGAAGCGATAGCATTCCTTGTCCCCAAAAAACTTAAAGGGAGGTGAAACAAAAGTTAAAAGATCCTACAAGACATGTGTGGAGGCTTAGGCAAGCGGAAAGTTTTTACCTCATGTGCTCCCAGAATACACTGAAATCCATCTAAAGACAAGGACTATGCTGCTTCTGTCCTTTGCCCTTTTCTAGCTTCTCTCAACTAAAAAAATATGTAACATATTGAACCAAAGGGAAAAAAGAAAAATCGCATGCCTTGTGGTAACAGTAGATGACTGCACTACTTTGGGGGAACCTGTACAACTCTCTTGTGTCAGCAAAGCTCTTGGGCTCCAACAACTGCTGAGTGTAATGACAATGGAAGTATAATTCACTGTCGGCATAGTGTTATTCTATATTTATGGCTTTTAGCTGTCCATGTGACAAAAACAGATTGGATACCTGCAGAATTCATAAATTGGTTTTTACCAGGTTCCCCTGCCACCAAATAAATTAAAAGAAAACATTTCACAACTCCCTCCGTCCTCCACACCAGAACGTTGCTGCTCTGAATCGAATCACTTCATAGCACTGCTTAACAAACAGCAGGCATCTGTCTCCAGACACTCAGACAGCCCGACCTGCAGTGCCACTAGGAATTGCCCTTTTTGTGCTACTGGGGCACCAGCATTTAGTGCCACGGACAGAAAAATCAAAACACACACAAAAAGTGCAAATGTCTTGAGCTTCTGGTGTCATTCTGTATGGCATGCCCTATATCTGCAACGTTCTCTTTATACTGGGAATTTTATCCTTAAAACCTATGTATGTCAGGGACTCAATCCACTTCTGGGGCAGAATTAAGTGAGGTTTAGCTCATACTGAAGCAAGGAGGAGAGATCCAGCAGACTGGAGCTCCAGCCTGATGAATGCTGGCTGAATATACAATAGTTGGTGAGGAACAGAGGTGCTTTTTACCAGCTGAACCGATCATTCCTTCACAATGTTAAGCCCTGGATAAACATCTGAACATGATAGATAAGATTTTGTCTACTCAAAAGAACTTTTTCCTCTCTAACATCAGTCATTGGAATAAGCCGACAACTTTCTCCAAGAGGGTGTTGCTCAATCAGAGACTATTGGCAGGAGTTACAAGGTTGAATCCTTTGGCTGCTGTTGCAGGAGTTCAGACAAGATGTTCATCATATTCCCCACTGACTTTAAAAATCTATTAATACGTGAAAATAATATCATAGCACTGGATAAAGAGGTCAGTTTAGACTTGTAAGAGTAAAGAGTTGTCCTGTAACCCACAGAACAAACTGCTCTGCTTCCTGCAGGTACACCTGCTGGTCACCTGTCCCCTTCTCCATCCAGGCCACATAAAGAAACTTTGCAGAACACTTTAGCATCTCCAACCATGTAGGTTGAGAAGATTAAAAATGTTTATTTTACTATTAGGATTATATTATTTTACTATCTGAGATCTTACTATTTCTTCTTCTATTCCCACATTTCTGTGTCAGTCTCACAACCTTCCTCCTCTTTCTTCCAAACTCGGTCACAAGTGGGGTCCCTCAGGGACCAATATTGGGCTCAACGCTATTTAATATCTTCATATAAGATATGGATGATCTGGATGTTGGGGTCAGGAGCTCCCTGATGAAGTTTGCTGATGACACCAAAATGAGTTGGGGTAGTTGACACTCCAGCAGGGAGAACCACCCTCCAGGAAGACCTGGACAGTTTGGACGAGTGGGCTAGCAGGAGCCGTATGAAGTTCAACACAGACAAATGTAAGCTCTTGCATCTGGAAATACATCATCCAAGGACGCAGTTGAGACTGGGTTCCACCTGGCTGGAGAGCAGCCCTGTGGAAAGGGACCTGGGGGTCTTGGTGGATGAGGAGCTCAACATGAGCCAACAGCATGCTGCAGCTGTAAAGAAAGCCAACAGGATGCTGGGGTGCATTAAAACAGGCATCACCAGCAGAGACAAAGAAGTAATTATCCCTCTCTACTCAGCACTGGTCAGACCACACCTTGAGTACTGTGTTCAGTTTTGGTCTCCACTATACAAAAAAGATGCAAACAGGTTGGAAGGGTCCAGAAAAGGGCCACGAGGATGATCAGAGGATTGGAAGACCTGCTGTATGAAGAAAGGCTGAGAAAACTGGGCCTGTTCAGCCTTGGGAAGAGAAGGCTTACGAGAGACCTTATCACCATGTACCAGTACATAAAGAGGGGCTACCAGGAAGATGGAGACTCCCTTTTCACAAGAAGTCACATGGAAAAGACGAGGGGTAATGGACACAAGTTGTTTCTGGAGAGATTCC